TAAATGTTACGGCCATTTCACTTGTTTCGCAAGTCTTGACCACTATATTTCTTTGAATTTTGAATGTTAAACCACGTTAGTTTACTTTCTTTGTTACAAGGCAACCAATTAATTGTATTTTAATTATAATGTCACATATTACAATGGCCGTACATGTCAAGTTCTAAGAAAATGCCATCAGACAAGCAACCCTCAATTTGGCATCATTTTTGCTGCAAGATGGCTGCTGAAATGCAGAACACGAGAGAAATCAAAGTGGAACAAAGAATACTACAAGATGTTTTCACTATTATTGACCTTGAGCAGCTACCATATGCACAATACAGTCTATCTATGGCTCCATGTAATTTTCTTCCTTTTCTCCAAGTTGAAAAGGAGGGTTGAAAGAAAATGTTTTTTACTCATTGAATGAGATTTAGAGTAGCACTCCAGCAGCATTTGTATCACATAAGCAATGGCGGTTTCATAAATGTCTTCCATTCATTGGTAAAATGGTATGAAAAATGTGTTCAAATTCGTGGAAAATATATTGAAAAGTAGGTCTTAATATGTGAAGATGATGATGGCAGATGACACTCAGATGGAAAATCGAAAATTCTCTCATATCATGGCTGGTGTTAGGTTGTGCACCTGCCCCTAAAGTATTTGCCATATTATAACAGTTGTGACGTGATTTGCTATATTTAAATACCGTTCCGGGTGGCAGGGACCCGGTATACAAAGATATTTAGAAAAGTAGCTAAAATATATTATTTTCTGTTGAAACTTAAACATAAAGTTGTTAAGATGTTGATCTTTATTATCTGAAAGTTTCATGTAATTATATTAAAAAATAGCAAAGTTAGAGCGGGGCGTCCAAGACTTTTGGATCACCCCTCGTATAGGAGATTAATAAAGCTAGAAATGTAGATATTAAAGAAGCACATGGCAGCCATCTTGAAAAATTGCGGCCTTTACTCGTTATTTAACGATTTTTGCTGTAACTCGAAAAGTAGTGGAGCGATTTTGTTCATATTTGGTATGTGAAAACTATAAGCATTGCACACTGTCTAATGACACTTTTGGTAGAAGGCGGCCATTTTTCAAAATGGCCGCCATTTTAACTTAATTTACTGTTACTTGAAAAGTAGTGGAGCGATTTTGTTCATAGTTGGTATGTGAATACTTTAAGCACGGCACACTGTCTAATGACATTTTTGGTAGAAGGCAGCCATTTTTCAAAATGGCCGCCATTTTTACGTGTGTTATTTAACATTTTTTACTGTAAGTCAAAAAGTAGTGGAGCGATTTTGTTCATATTTGGTATGTGAACACTTTAAGCATGGCACAATGTCTAATGACATTTTGGGTAGTAGGCAGCCATTTTGAAAAATGGCCGCCAATTTTACGTGTGTTATTTAACATTTTTTACTGTAAGTCAAAAAGTAGTCGAGCCATATGTTCATATTTGGTATGTGAACACTTTAAGCATGGCACAATGTCTAATGACATTTTTGGTAGTAGGTGGCCATTTTGAAAAATGTATATTTTGTATGTAAAAATGGCAGCCATTTCTGTTCGATGGGATTCGCTACGCTTTGGCGTTGCCGTTGTTCTGGTTATATTTAAAATGCATATGTAAAAAAATTGAAGAATTTTAACTTAATTTAAAAACAACAACATTTTGTCACCCTAAAATCATCGAATTTAGGGGGGTCGAGAGACACTGGTCGGAATTGATATTTTAATTTCTCAATCAATCTTTGTTTAATATTAATGAAACTTTCCTAAAAATAGCAACATGTCCCCAGCATATTACCCATAAAGAAAAACTCAAACTCTGATGTGTTCTGTTAGGGTCAATGTGGCCATTAATACATGTGGATTTTAAACAGTAATATGATGTCACATTAAATGAATACATGTACATATCATGTATTTTATCAAATATATTCCCATCAAATATTTTCACTTAGGTGTATACATATAGTACTAATACCTGTTAATTATTTACAATACAATATTTATTCTATGTAGGCTCGAGATATAAGAAAATTAAAAATCTGAAGTTAAATATTATTTAATACACAGTTCACGACTCAGTCATAATATTAATTTTACTCATTGTATGAATTTCTGTCATCACAAATGTAGTTTTTATTCACCAGAATATATTTGATCCACAAAGCTTTGTATTTCATGAACTTCCTCTTCAATTTGATATTCTAAAGTATCATCTAATACAATAACATCTACCGCGTCCTGGGGAAAATTTTATCTGGATTTGACACCCACTGAAATCCAAATGGCCATCTTTCATCCTCCAGCCATGTGATACAAGGGAGGGAATTGATGGAGAGGGAATGTTGGCAAGTTTCCATATGTTTGCTTGATAACTTTCCCTTGTCAAATGCTGCTGTAATGAATCTTTACATGGGGGTAATAGGCTCATGGTAGTGCCTTCATAGCTTGTTATCACACTTGGAGCAGATTTTGGTTGGAATTTGTTCTTGAATAAGATATATCTCAGCTAATTTATATTTGAACACTTCTTGTTTCCATACATCTGGCAGGTAAACTTCTCAGCACATTTAGCAGTTTGATCACTAATGACCTCTCCAATGGTGCCGAAACAGATCTCATAAGTAATTTTAGAGGGGGCACTTTCCCCTTCTCACAAAGGCACTGAAGGAATCACATCCAGTGAATGAATGGAAGGCTGATAAAGCATTACAAATTCACAAATGTCTGAAGTCTGAACTGAGCGCATTTCCTACTTCCTTTACATTAAAGGGGCAACAAGGACTGTAGAGAAAATTCGAATTTTTTTCTTTTTTTCTGAGCTATCGGGTCAATATTTGGCCAACATCTTCTTTGACATACCTATTTTCTTAAAATGTATGGATAAACTCTCAATTTAGAAGTGTAAATTCAGTTCAAAGCTTCTATAAAGGGAGTCCCACTAATAGATTTTTAAGATTCACCACGTTTCAAGAAGAATATCAGCTGAAATAATGTTCATCCAGGGGGTTTCTTTGTAGATAATAAAAATATATGTTAGTCTTGATGAAATATCCAAACTTAAATATATTTTAACACTGGTCGATGATCGTTAAATTACCCCCCCCCCCTGTACTAATTGTTGCACCTTTAATAAGTCATATGTGGTCTGCACTACCACTGTCCAAAATTTATGGAGTTTGAATAAGATTGGAAAATGCACAAGAAGTACAAAAACATCTGGTCCATTTCATGTTAATTGCATGGAGTATAATTTTTGTATCTGCCTCTTTGTGGGGAGATTTCAGGCTAGGTTCAACTCTATGTTCTATTACTGGTTACCACTGTACAGATCTCACCACACGAATCTGTCTTTCTTTGAGTTTAGGAGCATTTTTATCTTTTTCCATTCTTTGCAAAGGATCAACTGACTCAGCTGCATTTCATTCTCATCATTTAAAAGGCATTCCTTCCAATTGTTAGGAATCCTGGTATTAGGTCCTTTTATTATTAGCTTTTTGGAGACACACCGTATTCTTTCTGGTTCTTTAATTGAATCTTTCTTATAGGAAGCATCAGATTCTGAAGGATCCTCTCTGCCAATAATCCAAATGTTTTGGGTCGCTCATGAAGTATATGGAACAATGCATTGCCATCATAGACTATAATTGTTTTTTTCTGGTTTGGGTCCATGTTATATTATATGTTTTTTCCAGCTCATGTAATAATTTTGACTTTTCTGTTTTAACCAAGAGCCCATCAGATGTTCCAAGAGGCCAGCGTATTGGACTCAGGGGATATTCCAATATTCGTTTTAGACAGATACTATGCTACTCTGATAACATGACTAACTGGCCAATAATATAATTGCAATTAGATAATCAGTATATTTATTAAAGTTAAATATAAAGGTGTTTTGTATAAAGTAAAACCTGTGTACAGTGAACATCTATAGAGCCACAAAAAATGTGTTCACTATTGGTAGATTTCAATACAGAGAGACAATTTGTATTGGAATCAAGGTATGTGCTGAAAATAGGGTGTTCATTTTACACAGGTGTTCACTAGAGAAAGGTGTTCACTAACACAGGTCCTACTGTATTAGGCTTATGTCATTTCAAAGACATTCACTAAGTAAAACAAGGCATTAACATAACAAAATGTCATCACCTAGTTAAAACAAGATAAAAATACCTTTTTGACTTTGATGAGGTCACTAAAAAGCAATGTTGAAATGTCACACGGATTGTGTTGTAAGTTGCATAGAATGCTGAAACAATTACACATGGATCAACGTAAATTTCGAACGAACGTGTCAATTTTACACACGCATTGAGTTCAAACTCGCATAGGATGGTTCCCGCTCGCATAGGCTGTCACAAACAAGTTGCACTTCACATAGGGTGCGAGATTTGAAGTCACGTGATATTTACATCCTGGTTTCTACAATATGGCGCCCTCCGTTGAAATGTTATAAAATGTAAAGTTTAGATTAAAAATATATAATTTAGCTTAATTTGGGCACCTTGCTCGTAGTAATCGTTTATAAAAAGTATACAAATTATCTTTATATCTTTTTATCTTTTTGCCGCGCCGATGTGTTATTTCGTTCAGTGCAAAAGTAAAACGAAATTTAGAACAAAATCTCGAACATCTCTAGAAAGCAATTTATGTTCCATCAAGGTGTGTGATCGGTACATCAAGGTGTGTGATCGGCACATCATGGTTTGTGAAGGGAAAAACGTTTGTGCGAGCCGCATAAGCATTTGTTCGACTTGTGTACCCTGTTCCATGTCATTTTTAAACAATACATACACAAATACGCATGTACAAGTGTGACTTTACAAACATAAAGTGTGCAAACTCGAACAAACCGTGTATGAAATCACACGGATTGTGTATGTATTCTGCTGAACGCTATTCTATGTGCTAGAGATATCACATAAATATAAGATGTCCAATTTTGATACAGTTTTAACACCATAACTTTGTGTTACCATTTATGTCATAAAAAACTTTAGATTACCGACATATGAGGACAGACGCGTAATGCCATATATGGAGGCGTTCATATTGGAAGGATTGCGTTACATGTCAGAGGTTCCAATATCTGTGCCACATAAAACGTTGAAGGATGTCACGTTAAGAGGATACTTCATACCTAAAGACACACAAGTAAGACAAACTCAATTGCTATATGTAGGTCATCAACCAGCTCAAGAAACGTGTATAATTTATAAAGTAGTAAACGTCATACCTTCATACGGCACACAGGTAAGATAACCTTATCAAGAACCAGGTCAGCAATTAAGTCAACAAAACATGTATCATTAACAACATTTTCTCAGTATTTGAATGTCGGCTTTGTATAAAAAACCTCCTACCTCATACCCGCCTACCCACCTACGTGCAACATGATATATAGTCATTGAAGGGCTCAATTTAAAGATTATTAAATTTCAAAATAGCTCAAATTATTAACATTTCTACAATTTCGGCTTTATTTTATGACTAGACAGATGACAGATCCATAAATGAAGGCATATGGATGCATTTTAATGTGTAATGACCCGAGGGCGCCCCGGGGGAATAAATTACTATACGACCGCGAGCATAGCTTTAACAAGCCAGAAAAATAAATTGAAAGAAAGTGTGCTAAATTCGATGCCCCGAGTGGGAATCAAACCCAGCTGGGATGTAGTAGCAACTTGCTATCAAGGGTTCTTACACGTACGTGGGTAGGTGGGTATGAGGTAGGAGTTTTTTTTATACAAAGCCTTTGAATGTCTGTGTTAAAACGAAATATACTGGGTTTAACATCAAAAAATGATTTTTATATTTAGATTTGGCCGAATCTGTACGGACTACATCACGACGAGCGATTCTTCCCGGATCCTTACACGTTTAAACCTGAACGATTCCTTGACTCTGAAGGTGAATTGATACCAGTACACGAGAGAAAACAGTACGTGAGCTATACGCATTTTTTCAATTCATTAGCAGAGATAGTGTGGATTTTTGGGATTTGGGTTACTACTAATACACTATTGAGGCAGAGTTAATATGTGGTTTGTTGTAGTTTGTTGCCATTCGGAGGTGGTAAGAGGGTGTGTGTCGGAGAACAGTTGGCTAAGATCCGAATGTTCCTGTTCATGACCACCTTGCTCCAGCGCTTCACGCTGTACCCTGAAACTGACGGATGCCCTCCAAACTACGACCCTCGTTTGTCAATATATGGTGAGATCATGAGGATGCATGCTTACAAGATAAAAACTGTCGAGAGATCACGTGTCAATGTACTAACTTAACTGCAGAGGATTTCCTTACATATATGCTACCGCTGGATTACGATATGATTTTGCTTTTGAACATTAAAAGATATAATATACATTGATTTAACCTAGTATAACTGTATGAAGTTCTCTACAGTGGTCCTTCAACTGAGTTTGAATATACGTTTTCAATTCGATCCGATTCATTTATTGCTAAAATGAATAAACACAAGGAGCATACGCGTCTCGAACTCGCAACCTCGTGGTTACGTCACCTACTCGCCTAGTAAAGAAAAAAGGTGCATGGTCCTTTATTAGTCATAACATTTTCCAAATTTTGTATAAAGGCGCAAGGCGTAGATATTGTGGATGACTGGTGGGAATTTTAAGAAATGAGATGAAAATTTAAAAAAGTTATATAGCAATGGTTAAAAACATTGTATCACAAACTCACAAACATGACTTTTTCCTTTAAATTGCGTCATAAAGGATGAGTCTGGGAATGAGTCTGGGTATCGACTTAAAAAATATTGAAAATTGTAATGTCTGAAAAAACAACTCAATCACACATATTATTAAACTTCAATATCTTATCCTTCTGAGATTACTAAAATATCAATTTGTATCACATTTGATGAAGAATATTGGCATCAAAGACAGTGCATATCACTTTGTCAGAATTGAAAAAAATCAATGGCAAATATTAAATGAATTATTTATACAAAAAGTTTGAAACATATCCTCCAAAACATTGCTTATTTTCTTTGTATAGACATTGAATGGCATTTCTGGATAAGTGAATTATCTGTGTTTATCTGGGTAATCAAGGGTTTATAGACACTCAAAGTATCTGAGCATCCAGTTTTGAGACTTCAATTGTGTTGGTGAAGTTACACATATTTCAGTCAAATTCATGCTGAGCACAATATTTTGGTTTCAATTTTATAATCCCTATACATGACCCTGGTGATGAAGAGTCAGATTCAGTCAAAAAACCCAAACCGGAAAACTGTGCTCATTGTGAAAACTAAAAGTGAAGCAACTTTTTTTCTGATATTTCTTACATCAAATGGCAGCCATCTTGTTTTTCCCCCTTCAAATTAAACTGGCGGGAAATTCAAAAATTTGAAAAAAAATTTAATCCTAAATATATTTCAAAAATATGATTTTTTTTAAATTCTTCATGGGTCTTAAGTTATTTCTTCTTTGTATGTCATACATGTTGCCATTGGTGTTTTTTTCTATGATAATGACTATTTTTGTTTGTTAGGCTACTTATTCTAACTCTCAGCAGGGGGCTAATTATGCATCAAAACTCATGAAAAAGTAAATATACTTATCAAATATAACTAGGACAGTAATAAGAACCATATTTCACATTCATTTGACTGAGGGACCAAAAAGGCATATACCCAGACACATCCTTTCAATTTGCTATTATATACAGTGTAATTATTACCGCCTTGTACAATCCAATCAAGGGCGTTACAATACCCAGGAATTTATCGGTTCGTGCAGTACGTGTTTGTGATTGCGCCCTCTGCTGGTCACTGTGCTTAATACTAGTATGCATAATCGAAGTATAGGATGTATATTTATGGGTCATTGAGAAAGATTAAGGGTTACATTTATCTTACCATTTCAAGTTTATTGTAATAGATGTTACCCCTACCCCTAATTTTGAACTGAGAAGAGACCTCTGAATCTGCAGGATATTACCTCAAATGTTGTATTACAAAATGGTTATAATTAGCACTGACGATTTCGGGAGTTGTTCTATTCAATCCTTTCTAACTTTTTACCATATTTACGAAATTCTTTGAAATGTTCTCTATGTGGTCAAGTTATACATACATTATACCTCTGAATGTTTGGTATGATAATGATGAATAATTAAAAACTTAAGATATGATTGGTAAAGGGCAGTGCACCTTTTTTCTTTACAGAGGGTAAATGGGTTACATAATCAAATGTGGTAGGTGCCATCATTTTCAGATGAGTATACCCACGCATACGAGGACAGAATATGGTGTACATATTTTAACATATTAAGAATTAACATATACAGGGTGACCAAAAATGAATGCAACTGATATCTAATTTGTTTTTCACTCATAGTAAGCTGAGTTTATAACAAATGAGTCCTAAAAGTTTGAATTCTGCCATTCAAATATGGTGTGTATTTTATGGCCTTAAGCTTTTCAAAAAACCTAGCTAATGATAATATGACCAACGTGACGTCGCAGGCACCCCTGAATGCGGCGGTTGGAGTTCTCAGTTGCGCGGACACACTCCTCTCTTGGGATATCTCTGATATAAACAATGGGCCTTCAATTAACCACACATATAAATCTGGGGCTCTCAAGTTGGTTAAGTGTGGGGCCCACTCAGGATCACATCTACTGATCAGTAAATCACACATTGTGCCTAATGAGGAAAGTTTAGACAGCAATAGGAAGACGTAGGAGCACACCTTGTGAGAAACGGTTCCATTGGGACAGGGCCATCCCACAGTTCAATAAATCAATCGTTGGAATGGCTGCGGCAACGGTTTGAGGATCGACTGATCAGTAAGAAATGTGGTGCTTTTTGGGCTTTTTTAGCTTTCACCTTCACATGGTGAGCTATAATTGCAATCACTCACTTGTCCGTCTGTTTGTTTGTCTGTCTGTCCGTCTGCCCCGTTTTAAAACCTCTGCCAATAGGATTCTCGTTTTAAATTATCTTCATTCAACATCAATACTCCCCTATGACTCCTGGTTCAAAAGCTCGCCTATTTTCAAAATGGTCGCCATTTTTGTCTCGCGAAATTCACTTTTGTCCTCTTTCCTAGCTTTACAAATAATTTCAAGTGTCCTGCATTGTAAAAAGCCATGTCAATGTAAAGAGCACTTCTACAAAATAATTTTGTTACAAAAAATCGACAAAGAATAATATCATTTTTTTTATTTTTAGCCATTTTAGTTAACATTGATCTGTCCATTTGTATCTCGAAATCCACTTTTGGACCATTTGCCTTAAAACCTCTGTTGATAGGATTCCTGTTTCAAGTTATTCTTGTTCAACATTAATACAGAAAGGTCCCCTATGACTCCTGATTAAAAAGCTCGCCTATTTTCAAAATGGTCGCCATTTTTGTCTCGCGAAATTCACGTTTGGCCCATTTCCTAGCTTTACAAATAATTTCAGGTGTCACGAACCATGAGTAACATTATTAACTAAACAGAAGATTATGTCAAAGTAGATAAATATAGCCTCTCATATTGTTATCTCAGACTGTCAAAACATTTATACGTTATTGCGAGGCAATGATATGCAAACAAGAAGTATATTTTTACTATAACCTTACAGTGTAAACTATACATGTACGAGGGTTGTTCCGAATGGCTTGAACTGTTTGTTGAAAATCCAAATAACGAAAAATCACACACTCGTCCAAAACTGGCTTGATTTCAAGACAAAGCCTAAGCGTTTTTGAATTTGAGTGTCATCTGTATTACACTGTCCTATTTTGGACAAGACATCGGGTTCCCAATATCCTAATGCAATATTGTTCATTCTTGATTCTTTCAATGTTGAATTAAACTTGATACGTCGTTGCCCAATTCATTCCTCACTCACCGATGTAGGTTCTCAAGTCAATATGCAAGGACGATGCGGATCCCCTAAGTGCATTCTGCATTCGAAATTGTTAAACTTATATAACGTTGTGTATACAGTGACCAAATAATATTATGCAATGCTTAAAGTTGAAGAATATCAAGAATTATTGGACAAGTCATTTAAAACTTCTTGCACAACTACGTATTCTTACAAACGGCTTAGTGAACATGTGACGACTGATATATCTATTTTATTGAAGTGACTATCATTGTGTTAATATAGCTTATATGTATTTCTAATCTAAATTGGAGTTCGTCAAATAAAAACCATCAAATAGAAGCTGTAAATGTAAGATTTGCTAAAGCAGATAATTTATTGTAATTGATACTTAACCTCTTGAGTAGGTCGACCAGATCATATATAGAGGGACGTATAACGTACAGTAGACCTACACTTTGGGCAGTGCAATTTGGTAGTAAAATCATTATTCAAATTTGATCCCATGATGACTATGACATTTTAGGATCAGTGCAATTTGCAACGTCAATGTTATTCAGACTGACGTTAAACGCGTGGAATCACATCTCATTGAAATTAAACAGAAGTAACATTTCGATTGTTTTGCAGATGTTATCAATGAATTATGTTTAATTATTTACTAAAATTACTTTTCTAAATAATGCATACTGGCGTACACAAAAATCCAAGAGACATAACAATACAATAAAAATGTCGAAACAAGTGTACGATCCACCGAAGTTGAAGGGCCTTTCCAGGCGATGGACTGTTGCATTTGTTGGATTCTGGGGAATGTTTTTCAATTATGCATTGCGAATAAACATTAGCAGGGCAATGATTTGTATGGTCAAACCACCGATTACAAATACAACAGAAGATTCGACGAACCATACAATGTCTGATGACCCTTGTATAGCCAATCGGAACCCTGGAAATTCCACAATCTTAGAGGTAAATTATTTGAAACACATTCCTGACATTTCAAAGATAAATCGACTTTTCACATCACAAGTAGTAAATTATGTTTTCCAATTGATATAATTAATAAAATCATCAGCTATGGAAGTGAAACATTGTGCATCTGGAAGATTGTTTCTGTTGAAATTTTCTGAGGCTCACCTGCCCCATGTGAAGCTACGCCTATGGGCTCACAGTAGAATAATATGTGATTGTGTTCTCAATTCGTTACATGTTCATTTTGTTCTCTCTGAAGTTAAGATACAACAGAAGGTTCAGTTATCGGCCGAATACACTAACGAAAGTCACTCTTGAAACATAAAACCATTCATTACTAAGAGAAACGAAACCTTCATTCAGTGCTTTAACATGGTTTTAGTCTGACTAAAATTATTATGCTTTCAACCACATCTGGGTAATAAAATTCGGATTACTTTTTACACTTTTATCAATTCATATGGGAAAATCCTACTTTTCTGCACAATGATTTTAGAATGTGTAAAAATATGAATATTCCACGCAGAAAAGAACAACCCCTGGTTGCCCAGTTGTCAAACAAATATTTTGGAATACAGCAAGCCCCTTGTCGCACCAAGACCGCGTTTTGTATATCCTCAATTTGCATTATGTCACTGACATCTGTGAGGACTTTAGGGCTGTCAACGTTCGAAAGCATGTCATCTAGACAGATCAGAATGCAAAATAGGAGTGTCTAGTGGGACCCGATCTCATTTGTTTGTTCACTCTATTTTGGTAACAGTTGTAACACTTGGGTTATCGTGAATTCAAGGTCTCGAAGTTGAAGTGCATGTGCCACTCCAGCAGTAAAACTATGATTTATCTATTTACTCCGTTAATTCTCTAATTCACCGATAGATAGCTTATATATTGGGATCAAAAGTGGAGGTGCTAGCCTAGATGTGATATTTTGTCTCGTATAGATGGAATGATATTTGAAGTTTGAATTGTTATTCTCTAAAATATCCCAATCTTAGACATGTAAATAAGGGTTATGTACTTGGAGGTTTTGGATATGGGGTTTATCCAGAGGGAGATATGCATATCTACCTGAGGGACCGTAGGGACCGAAGGTAGATGTGCATATCTCACGAGGGGTGAACCCAATATCCAAAACCGACCGTACATAACTGCTTTATCCTATACCAAGTAGAGTTTTCAGGGGCATATGGCCATTTCAATAGTAAAAGGTGTATGCAAAGTCATTTTATTGCATTTCCACTACTTACCGGAAGCGGGAAGATATGCACCGAAGCGGGAAGATATGCACCGAAGCGGGAGATATGGCGGGAGATATGGAGGTTCTGGATATGGAAACCTCAAAATCAGGATACGGGATATATCTTACCAACTTATCTCCCTAAAACTCTACTTGGCATAGGATAAATAAGGGTTATGTACTGGGAGGTTTTGGATATAGGGTATATCCTGGGGGATATGTTTATATCTCCCCGAGGGACCGAAGGGACCAAGGGGAGATATAAATATTTCCCGAGGGATATACCCTATATCCAAAACCGACCGTACATAACTGGTGTATCTCATACTTGAGTGGGTTTGGGGTAGATGTAACCTTTACCACCTTTTCAAATGACAAGATAGGCCTATACTGTAAAAGCACAATTTATATTTAACATTTTCATAATATTCCTTCAGCTCAATACAATAGAAATTGTAACATTTAAACTTTTTGAAAAAATTTAAACTTCTGAAATTTATTTTAAAATTTTTAAACTTTTTTAAAAATTCCCGGGAGCGGGATGGATATATTATATCTCCCCGCATTTGGCCTAGAGCGGGACATATACAATATATCCTGCCCGCTCCTCAGATATGATGTATATTCCCGGGTGATATCTACCCCAAACCCACTCAAGTATGAAATACATAACTTTATTAAACAGATGAGAAAGCTGAAACTTAAGTTGCAAAATTAACCTTTACCTAAGATGAAGAAACCTAGCTTATAACGACTGTCGTGAACCATGAATCATTATCCCCAGGAGCTAGTTGTCCGATCTTCAATGTTATTTAATATAGTGATATAGTCTTCGAACATAGTCTGTCCCCATCCTCGGGTCTGCATACTGGTAGCCAATCCCCCCCAAACACTGACAAGTGAACTGAATCGTTCAATATGCTAACAATAGAGGTTAAGTTGCAGACTTTGGGAGAACTTGGACGTTAACGGGTATTATTATGACCCCAATGAATTGTTGTCCACCTCTCCATTAGTTCAAACGGGGACCTGTATTACAACATTTTCCATCACACATGCATACTCCGTCGGGTAAATAAAGGGGACCATAATTTTACTCGTACACGTTCTTCAAGACAGTACTAATAACCTCCCTAATATCTTTTGTTTATTAGATTGTTATTTATAGATGGCAGAGTTCGAATGGTCACGGATCACACAAGGCTGGGTTCTCAGCTCATTCTTCTTTGGTTACATGGCCACACAATTAATTGGGGGAACGTTGGCGGGTAGACTTGGCACAAAGTTGGTGTTTGGTGTTGGAATAGCTATAGCTGCAGTGTGTTCACTATTTTGTCCACTAGCTGCCAGAACCGACGTGAATTTGCTCATAGCTCTACGCGTTATTATAGGTCTTGCAACAGTAAGTATATAAACATAAATTTGGATGTCGATCATGAGTGAAGTTCCACTTTTTGTGGTATTGTCATAATCATTTTTTCTGCTATTTGTATTATATTTGTATTGTCAGTTAAGCATTTTAACATATCTATATAGCGTTGATAAATACATCCCCAGAGAGTCTCATCATAATCTGTAATACATTTTGGGGGGTTTAATTTTGTAATTGCTCTACAATATTTCATGATTTCACAATTGCAAGATGTTATCAAAATATGTTTTGTTTGAGAGCCTGTCTGGTAAAAAGTATGCAATGCAAGCTATAAAGAATCTCAAAATTATATCGTGTCTTGGATGTATAGGTGCATCTATTTCACCAATACACACTTGAAAGCAAAAAATTATTGCATCTGTTTACTAAACATTTATTTCCCACCAGGGTATATCGTTTCCGGCCTACCATACATTATGGGGGAAATGGGCCCCTCCCCTCGAAAGAAGCAAACTCATTACATTTTGTTATGCAGGTAAGTAAGCATTGCATTTTTTAAATGTATACAAGGCACTAAAATTCAAAATGTCACCAACTGCCATTTGTTACAGACGAATTCAGCAAATTCGTCAAAATAAAGTGGACACCAATGTAACAAGAAGTGACATTCTTCCCCCTGAAACACATATTCTTTTTTCTAGGATCCGCTTTCGGCAATGTAGTTATAGTATTCTTTGGAGGATTCATGTGCAATTGGCGAGAATTTGATAATGGTTGGCCAACATTATTCTATATACCAGGTATACTACTATAAGCCATTATAAAATTTCCATTGTTCACTGCATTTATCTGTATTTTCTTTTAGTTAAAATAGACAGATGTTTATTTTATTTACCATTTCTTTGCATTCATTACTTCACTATACTCTGTAACATTTTACATTTCATTAAAATATTTGTTTATGCCACTTTTCATTACTTACACTGTATTTATTAATTACAGTAACTATACCGTTTTTTTTAAATTTGAGATAAATGTACCTACTATATATGTTTTTTATATATCCCTTATATAGGAGGATTGTGTCTTATTTGGCTTATCTTTTGGGTAATATTTGTGCACGACTCCCCTGCCAAAGACCCACGGATAACTCCAGAGGAACTCGAATATATAGAGGGTTCACAGGGCATTAACAAATCTTTTGTTGTAAGCGATTCTTAGTTGGTGTTATATTATTTTATTTTTATAACCAACAATTTAAGTTTAAACAAGTAATGAGTTAATGCAGCTTAAGAAAAATACCTATTTAACGTTTAACATTGGAGGCAAATATTCCGTTTTGTAAACACTACATGTATGGTTGTGTTTTCAATAAAAAAAACAGTCTATTTTAGAGGCCGCCAGTCCCCTGGCGAGGTATATTTACTTCCACGGCTGTATGGGCAATAGTCGTTTGTCACTTTTGTAACACGTGGGGAATATTTGCGTCAATGACCACTGCCCCGCAGTATATGCAGCAAGTACTACGCTTCACTGAAACTGAGGTAGATACCCACATTATGTAAACCTGGTCGGTTCCAAATGTAGCCTTTAACTCACATATGTTGAATGAGTAAAAACTGCCCTTGGAGAACCAAATGAGTTGTAAAGAAAAATGAAACAGTCACGAGAATCAACTGAAAAATGATCAATTGTGATTTTCTTATTGGAAGCAATTGTCTGAGGAATAAATGTATTAAAAGGCATTGTCCTAATCTTCATTTGCCTTTTTATTCATTTGTTTCAGAGGAGTATGAAAATGTATTCTTAAGTTTGTTTCAGAATGGAGTGGTCTCATCTGTCCCAATATTTCTGGGCGTATTTGCAGCCATCGGATTCGGACAACTCGCAGACTATATAAGGATTAATGGCATATGGACAACACTTACCGTCAGGAAAGTGTTCCAGTGCGTAGGCAAGTATATGGTTCATGAATTTTGCTCCCACATTTCTAATTTTGACCGAACTTTGTTAATGGGTTTCTTGTCGAATTGTTCGGATTACAATCATAATGATATTGTTATATCTAAGGTTGCAACATTTGATTTATGTTTTATTAATTAATTAACATACCTTCTGGTTATCTTTATTGTATAATATGACATTTTAAATTAATATGTATCATTATTTTTCACTTTTGTTGTGTTCTCATTATTATGTGTTCCAACACTTATGTGACTTATATTCTTGTTAGAAATAGATGGCGTCTCAGTTTGGTTAAAATATGCTTTCTTATTATTTGAAGTCGGGTTAATGTTAATTCTAAAATGTTGCGTTTTGATCATTATCTATAAGACCTAACCTATTATAAGGTTCGCATCTTAGCCCTGGAGTAACTATATTTTTTTCATGCACAAGTCATCCAAAATTCCAAAGCAAAAATCCTAATAATGCAAGAAAAAAACTAATTATATTTTAATGTCTGCCAATGATGTATATGTTGACCTAAATCTATAATGCAAATTTTCCAATTGGTGACCGAAATGTATCAGTTTTCAGTTTATAAAAACATTTGTGTTCTGTCCGGACCGACAGTCTCTGTTTCTAAGATTTCAACCAGTCCGATTCTCGGATAGAACACACTCATTATGACAAAAATAAATTGTTTTTTAGGATTCTTCGGTATCGCTATTTGCTCCATCATCATCAGCTTTCTAAACTGCTACAACCGAGGATGGGCTGTCTTCTTGCAGATCGTTACTGCTATCCTTGAACCTGGGAGTAGAGCGGGTTATGTCGTCAATTATGTTGATATTGCACCATTGTAGGTGTACTCACTATATACCACATGCATTTTAATGTTTTCGCATGTTTTATTTTTGATATTTATAAATAAGGTGATAAACAAACAATGCGATGCAATGCTACAATACAATATACATCGATAGAAAAATACAATGTACTACATTACACAACAATACAATACAATGTAATACTATAAGTTATAGAATGATTTGAAGTGCAATGCAGGATATATTCTGCTCGAATATTAAGTATTGGAACGAGACGAAGACGAGTGTGTCAATACTGAATATCTGAATACAATACTGAATACAATACAATACAATACAATACAGTGACAATACAATACAGTACAATATGATAATACACATATAAATGTAATACAATACAATACAATACAATACAATGCAATACAATAATCGTACTGATGTAACAGTCTCAATATTGTTAAAATAATTTAAATTGCGGATGACAAATCTTTAAAATGAGACACTGATTTTTCACCAATAAAAGAATTATACATGATGAGGTAGAGGCCGTTTGGGTTTTTGTTTTCCTCTCTACTTTGTATTTTGTAGCTATGCTGGAGAGTTATTTGGAATTGGAAACACGATTGGTACATTACCGGGGATTATTGGACCTCTAATTATCACAGCTATGACCCCAAATGTAAGTTCTACTGGAACATTTCTTTTGCAAGAAATCACATGACTAGTACTTTTTAATGAAAAATCTAAATGGAACACATCTTTGTCGTTGTTTTAGTTTTTTTAATCAATAGGTTTATTTCATAAATACAAACGAATATACAATGAATGTCGTTTTTGTTAAACAATTATATTATTTATTTTTTGTCGTCGACATCTATCAAGCTCTAAAAACCAAAATTTTAGGAAAATTGAATAAAAATTGTTTTACGAGAATGTCGGCTTTAGAAATTAAATTTTAAAAACAAAAATAAGGAGAACATTAAATGAACACAATGAAGGGAGAATGTAAAAAAACTTTTCGATGACATCTGTTCGCCTATTGAAGCTATATTGCCAAATATTTAACGAAACATTTTTAATATTCTAAATTAATTCAATTTAGGGTACACAGCAAGAATGGCAAGGGACCTACTTTCTTTCTGCTGGAATCACAACATTTGGGGCAATTGTGTTTATCATTTTTGCCAGAGCTGATCAACAACCTTGGGCTTTGGTAACAAGTGATCTTGACATCAAAAAGGACATCTTTGAATCTAAAGAAACTACTGAAGCTGATACAGAAATATCGCTAGATAAAGTTAATCATGTAAAATATAGAGACGTTGTTATCCAACCTGGACAATCTGTTGTAAAAGACGTTGAGTATCTGGGTGGCGTGTTTGAAATGGATAACTCGAAACCAGCGCATGACAATCGTAGTTTTACACCAGATGTGAATCATTTGTAATCATTAATGATCCTTTGTAATCATTACACTGTGAAATTGTTATAATTTTCTCTGTAAATAAAACAGTACAGACATCATAATGTCGCTTTTCTCGTTTGCTTCAGATATTCGAGATAATTCATAATTCATTCACAAGAATTGAAAAATGGGATCTCGTCTTTTAGAATTATTTCTAAATCACTGAAAATTCTCCAAATGTTCTTCATGAAATTAACTCGGGTCTTCTGTTTTTAAGAAATGTATGCCAAACGTTACGTAAAGTGTGACATTTTTGGGCTTCCGATATTACTTTGGTAGCGTGTTGTAATGGCGGATAAGAATGCAAATAAAAGATTCTGATGGACATGACCTCATATCTATTTATTGATCGACAAGAAATGTTAAAAACAATTCTCTGACAAGTTACAAAAATATGAAATTTAAACAAACATAGAATATCACTGATCAAAGCCACTGGCATGAGAATTATTTTGAATTTACTTTTTTCTAAGTAAACGGACTTAATGGCAATTTTATTAGATATTAGATAGATGGTGCTGGCTGTGCATCTAGTCTATACATTAAGATAATATCCTTATAACTTTTATCAACAACAGATGGTTATCATAGTAACGATAATTGCTGGTTGTCATGACACGAGCCCTGATGATATTTTGACAATAATATTGTTTCTCTTGTTAAAATTGTTCATAAAGAATAGCATCCAACAAGCACAAAAGGTATAGCAAAATTATCAATAACTAGCTGAGCACCCTAAATATACTGTAGATACTGCATAAAGATCACATGTGGTTGTAATCTATTTATATCAAACAGAACAGGTGTTAAATTACGACTTTACTCCGGTTTCAAAAGTTAGGCAGATCTCAATACTTGGCTTGTACAAAGTCCAATCACGAGAGTTGTATATTATTATACATACGTGGATATCAACAAGGTGTGAAATGAAGCTACATGTACTCTCAATCTGAGTATATATTTACAAGGTTACCTTACACTCATCGAGGACACAGAACTTCAGATGTTTATACGGCTGGTACAACTTTAGTTAACAGTTTTGGAAACTCTACATAAACTGTGGTTATGGCCTATACATGGACAAAAAGCACGGATGCGGAGTATAAACAAACTAAAAAGTATTTTAGTACCTGAGGTCACAAAGAACATTCGGGACATAGCCATATAGCCATATCAACAACATATGATGTTACAAATTGTTTACGAATATACTGATTTAGGTCACGCTTGCCAAAAAACTTACAATTAAAAAACACTGAGTGGTCATGGCGTTTTATATGAAGTTAAACTTCTCGGGATCTGAAAGGACGATGATCATGTTTCTATTAATAGCTTCATGTATGTTAATAAGAGGTAAGATGCATGTGTATGTATATGTAGAGTCCATTTCACTGGTTCATTTCGTCAGTAAAACGGCAAAAATAAGAAATTGGGAGACCATTGTGCAATAATATATGGAAAAGTATATTCATAATGTACATGAATGACATTTGTATATCTTGGATTGCTTCTAGTTTGGCTTATAAAGTGTGTGGCCTCTTATATTTGGATGTTTCTCTGCCATGTTATTTTCAATAAGATTAACATGGCTGAAATTCTTCAAATTACAACACGGCACAGGCTTATTGCACAAAAAACTAAAAAATCTGAAATATACAAATGTCATTCATGTACATTATGAATATACTTTTCCATATATTATTGCACAATGGTCTCCCAATTTCTTATTTTTGCCGTTCTACTGACGAAATGAAGCAGTGAAATGGACTCTAATGTATGCAGTCCAGGAGGTAAACGACTGAAACACATTAAATTCTCAGAAATTTAGCTGGCCATAAATATTGTGTCAATGACAGAACAGAGTATCTTAATGTTTCAGTTTGAAATTCTATATCTCTGTTCATATGAGTATACTACACTCTGTTAAGCATGATAAAAGGCAAGAAGTTTAGTTAGAAATAAAAAAGTTATCTCATGAATGGGACCCTTACATAGCTCCTAAAAGGTAGAAGACACTAAATGATGTAACACTATAAGCTGAATTTTGTCCACATAGAGCATGTGCACAATACTAAAGACATGTAAAATTGAACTGTCAAAAGAACTGAAATATACTTACCAGCTCGCCTCTTCCGGAAGTTATGATACGTTATGGTGTAACTACGGTAATTAATTTTAAAATATTGAAAAAATCACAAAATACAAGTTCTGAGGTATATATCGCCATTTTTAAGCGAATTAGCCCATACTATGACTATATATTCGCACTCCCATATACAGATATATATAAACTTCATCTTCACAATAAATTGAGCTTCTTTCAAATTTCCATTTTTTGAGATAAGTGCCATTTTCTTACAATTCAAGCCGTAAAAATAGTTGGAAAGTGCTTCCCAGTTGAGGTTAATGGCTTTTATACTTACATTAATGTATGGAGCACTTAAAATGTACTTAGAATCGTATAAATAGCTCTATTCTGTGAGATTTATTTTTGTTTTTATTTTTCAATTTTTCTCACCTCATAATTGAAGAGCTCCGCTGTTGATTTACATTCAGTTACACGTTTTTCCTTGAAAATTCGCCATGACTGGAACAAATGATGGTTGGTTTATGTTATATTCATTTAGTTTGTATTTGAATCTAGCTACTTAAACACAAAACATGTCTTCATGTTATGCTAAAGAGCAAAGATCGCGAATTCTAGATGAAGCCAATTATTTTGCACAAGTCATATCCTGATTGCATCATAGTTACTTTGTACTAGTCACATCCTGATTGCATCAGCCGATTCACGTGATTTACAGTTTACACATGGTTTCAATATACATGTTATACTACTTCCGGGTAGGGTAGTGTTTTTTATACTTTAAAAACGAAGCCATTTCGATCAGTTTTTATAATCCTTGGTAGAACTGAGAGGTATTACAATACATATTTAAATTAATACACATGAGTGTATTTGATGAACTCTCAAAAAATAAAACCCACAATAATATCTTTTTTATTCACAATTTCATGTCGTTGTTTCTAACAAGTCGCCTCTTTCTCTCTTTTCTTTATTTTTGTCAACAGTCAAAATCGGAATTTAAAACTTGGTTTCTTTACAAGCTCTGCTTCTGTAAATACTAAATAACATGAAAAATGTTAAACCTTACATCCTACACTTATTTGATATGAAATTGGCGATCATTGATATCATTTTTGTGCTGTTAAGTGTGGATCTTTTAATTTTTTAGTCAAACTTGATCGCTGATCTCTGTCGATGTGACGCCACGCATTAAGTATGCACGCATGGGCAGTACAATACATAAGGCAATATGGCGTCTTAGGCCTATACATGAGCCAGAATGGAGGTCTGCAAGTTGAAATGAATATGTTTGTTTATGCATCAATCGATCACACATATAATCCAGACAATCTTTCAAATCATATACTTAACATTGTAATAGATTTATTTATTTTGTGAGCTAACGTTCCCTTTAATTTTCATTGGTGAAGCAATGATTTTACCTAAAATGAGTCCCTGTCTTTGCATAGTGATATTTAAAAATCGAGAAGCAAAACCTATGTTGAATATAATGTGTATTGATGAAGTTTATATATAGCCTAGGGGAACTCAAAAATATTGTTATTATATCGGCAAATTCGCTCGAAAATGGTTGTACACCCTAGAAATTGAATGTTGTTGATTTTTTCAATATTTTAAAATTAATTACCGTAGTTACACCATAACGTATCATAACTTCCGGTAGAGGCGAGCTGGTGAGTAATTTCTATTATTTTGACAGTTCAATTTTACATGTCTTTAGTATTGTGCACATGCTCTATGTGGACAAAATTCAGCTTGTAGTGTCACACCATTTAGTGTCTTCTACCTTTTAGGAGCCATGTAAGGGTCCCATTCATGAGATAACTCTTTTATTTCTAACTAAACTTCTTGCCTTTTATCATGCTTAACAGAGTGTAGTAGATAGAATATCTGTATCAGCTATTTGAATGTGAAAGCAACTTTTAATACGTGTAGTTCAATGCAGAGTTTTTACATTTCAATTAGACCATAGGCATAGCCATGGGGGGGGGGTGCAATTGGCGATCGCACCCCCCCCCTCCCATAACCAATAAAATATAACCATGAGAAGAGCTTTGGAATGCTTTTTATTTGAAGCTTCTAGCTCAATTTATTATGAAGGAAGTTGCATAAATTTTTGAAAAATTCAAGATACAGTAAATCTTAATTATTGGCTTTTTATGCCACAATCGCATCCCCTGACTGAAAATAGATTTTTTTGGCGATCGCACCCCCCCCCTGCACTGAGTGAAAGCTGGCTACTAGACATTTCCATTCTTAAACTTCATATCCTGCAAATTCCTATATATGAGGCAATAAAATAAAATAAAGTTCTATCTGCATAATATCACATTGTGATCTAGATAGATAACTAGCTTGACTGACTGATATTCATTTGCCTTCATCATGTTATTTGGCTTACAATAGCCAGGATTTTGTGACTGGGAGGGGGTGGTTCATTTTTTAAATTCATGCAAAAATACTTCCCCACCCTCCCCCACACTCAAATTACCTCATCTTACATTAAGTAATAAAGGTATCATAATTTGATCATTGTGGAATTTATTTTATGAAAGTTTAAGATGCAGAAATTGGTCATTGGTCTTTAATTGGTCTTTAGAAAATAAAAGTATCTTGTATCATTATGAAATAAAATCACAACCATTTTTAGGGATAAACATGAAGTCCCATGCGCAAAAGTATTCAAAATATTTTCAAAGTCGTGAATTACTTATAACACATATCTAGACTTAGATACCCTTTAAGACAGTAATCCATTTAGGCTCATTCTATTTTCAAGATGACATCTGAATTCAACTTAGTTTTGAAGTGTGAACTAGGCATGAAGTATTAACTACCCTAATAAATTAATAATCTCATGTTTATTTGGTTTTAACAATGGCCATTGTCTCTATCAAAAAATATAATTATACCAAATGAAATTTGGTACTCCATTTTCCATTTTAGAATATTTAACTTGAAACTGGAGTAAATATTATATCTGTCTCTGGGTAGTATAGTACATGTATTGTATACTAGTAACATCTTATTTAGTCTTGAATACTTCAAAGAACACCAGATATTTGCCTTTAAAAATACATTGAATCAGACTGCAATCTGTCTATGAGTGGAGGACAGTGAATTCACTCTAGACTAAAACCAAGATGACAAACCCATAACTTACATCTTATCTAAATAATCTGTCAACTTAAACACTAACGAGTTTTCCAGAGCTGATCAGATTTGATCAGAACTTTGCAGTTATCTGGAGGACTATATGGGCTTTATATAAATATCTAATTTGCTGATCTAGTTTATCATATCGCATGGTTTGAGAATGATTGCTAATAAGGTGTATGGAAAGTAGTATTCACAATTTTATTTTTATGTCGGAGAAGCCTTTTGGTAATGTATATGTATCGGTATGTGACTGTCTTTTTGGTATAATGTCCCACTGGTGGATCCAGAAGCTAACGGGGGTGGGGGCACATCAGTAAAATAAAAACATTCTTTGGGCCCAAATTTTGAACATTTAATTCCATTTTATGATAATTTGGACTAAAAGGCCCAAAAGACCAAGTAATGCACAAAAAGGCTTTCTAATCTAGACAAAAAATGCTGGGCACACCCAAGGGGGGACATGCCCCACTGAATCCGCCAGTCCTGTCCATATGATATAAAAAGCAAATACAGAAGAAAGTTAATAAATATATTCCATTGTCTCCCCTGCTACTAAGCTAGTCTTATATCTTTACTTAGGTATGGCTCCTGCTATCCCTTTCATTTTTTTCTTCCATCTTATTTATGTTATCCATTACATCTTATCCCCTTCCCTTTCCCATTCTTAACACTCCATCCTCATCCATATTGTTCCTCGTAATAGTGCACTTTTCTTTTCAGACTGCAATTGCCAACCACAACGACCAAGATATTTCAACAGATCATACACAGCTTCCAACGATGATTCAAGTTCAAGCGAGGAGTCAATTGAGTCAAATGAGTCCGATGAATCCGACGAAGGCATACTTTATACAGACTTTGGACCATTGTACATACTGGATAATGGCACAGGTCCCCTTCCATATCCATTTAATGAGACAAAAAGTGTTATACCCCACAGCTCAAAACGTACAGTTGGAACAATGGCACTGGTAGTGCTTGGAGGGGTTTTTCTCCTTCCTATATTACTCGGGTGCTATAAGTTTTTCAAGAGACTCAACACGGCATCTGAATATTGTTTTAAAGGTGGCGACGGCATGGAGACATGGGTTGTTGATCAAAATATCGAGCGACTTTCTAGAAGAGACAGTGATACCAGACATACATCTACACTGTCCCCTAATGAACAACTGAGGTGTGCCCCTTCAACAAATGATTCTCAGACGATGAGAGGAGCAGAAAGACCATCATCAAACAGAACTCCATTCAGGGTACAGTTTGGAGGGAGGCACCTCTCGGGACCAGAGTATGAAATGATGACGATTGTAATAAGAACTCATCAAGATGAAAATTATCCATTGCCAATAGATTCTCTTCCTCCTTCTGGTGTCTCTCCAACAGCCACCGTGCCACAGCCGCCATCTTATGAACAAGCAACGCAACCTTGTTCAGACATGTCTGTATCCCAGGAAAACACTATTGCTCAAAGTCCACCACCATACACTAAGGATAGTAATATCCCGTCTGATGATCCCATTAATCCACCAATGGATACTGGTAATAATTCAAATGAAGAAGAGCCCCCGCCATATGTTGTATCAGAAACACTTCTGCCACAGTCGCACATAACAACATCATAATTTACTAGCTCAAGAATTTATCATAAGCTCAAGAACAGGACAGAAGGAAAACTATAATTCATCTCGATTTTATTTAGAGCTCGAGATCATCGGTTAATAATTTGCCGGACTGATATGCACGTTGGGACCAATATACAGTATGTTACTACAGACTTTAAGCTTGCATATAAGACCGAAACGGCAACCGAAACATACATATATAAATAGCCCATACACAAATGCATGATTGTACAATAGTTTATTCTCACTCAAATAATCGTCTCGGCTACAGTGCAGTGTCTAATTAGTCCGTTACTTAGCTTGACTACAATACACATCATCGTGTCATATGCCATTGATAGTTATATACCTGGTTTTCATGATACATATTTTAAACAAGCTCGTTTCGTAAGATATTTGGAGCTAAAACTTGTATGACATACATTATTTTCTTCAGAGAGCATCATTAAATACTGCTTATCCACACCAAAATTGTCAGCATAGTATTCAATAGACATAAGTATAATGATTCCCGTTGACTCCAACGTGAAATTGCAAAAAAATCTCCCGTTCTAAACTCGAAATTGAGCCTGAACGGGTATCTGAAATAGACTACGTAGCGCTTGTTTTGTATGCGTGTTATAAATCACTACATTGAATCATGCACTTTCCGTTCACGGTTACGTTGTGAAAATGCAAGCTTAAAGTCTCCACTATCGCCACCTTTAAAAGGAACAGAATCATATTTGTATAATTCAATTTAAAAACAAACTTACACATTTTCTACATTGCGTTCTCGGTATGCAGTATTACTTTTTGTATAAACATGTATAATATGTATTTATATGTCTAAAATAATATTTTTTATATATTCAATACCGTTTTAGTATAGTGTATTATATTTTCAGCTCAACCTGGTGTAATCAAGCGATATTTAATACTTGACACATTCCTTCCAAATTGTAATCACATACATTTACATTGACTCTTGATCAAGGTTCCTGCTGAAACTGAGTGACTGTCATCAATATAACACAACGTCCCCGGCCCCCGACAGCAACGTCCATGGCGCACCAGAGTCTTCTTATCCCGGGCTTCTTAAATACAGTGTTGGGTTGTTATGCGGGGTTGCATTTAGTTTCCGTAAGCGTGCTCATGCACTGGCGGATCTGGGGGGGGGGGGGGGCAAAACAATTTGGAGGATTTTTAGACTTCAAATATTGCCCCCCCCCTTTTTTGGTTCCTGGATCCGCCCCTCTCATGAGTCCAAAATAAATTCTGAAAATAGCACCATCTATTTAAGGGACCTGTTGATATAATGGATTTTAGTAATTCTCTTAACATTCCACTGTTTTATAATTCAATGGTTGAATACAAGTATACAGAGAACATGCATCAATATAAAGCATGCATTGAGATTATGCTGTTCAATAACATATATGTTAATATCCAAGCGCTGCAGGAAGTCTATCTGTGTTTTAAGCAATAAATAAATATATATAGCGTCCTTAAATGTTACTTTAACCAGTGAACCAACCACTACTACTTGTCGCCAAAATATTCAAGTTGCACTCTACATAAACGCATTCATCATCACGCCAGGTCATCTCGGTCTTAGTGAGTTACAACTCGGAATCAGGCTGGGTTTTCATCGCTAGGGGACTTACAGGTAACAGTACTTTATGCATATTTATTTTACCAACAGTTTTTCAAAGTAACATCTAGTTTTAAGATTCATATTTGCATAGTTGTGTTATTAAAATTCATAATGTCGCATCTTATCTATAGCGATAAATGTGCATACCTGCAGTTACTCCTGCATAATTTATACTAGTAAGTCACTTTTCATTTCCTATTAATGCCTGCATAAAAAAGAGTACATCTAGACAGCAGTTATGAATATACAGTACACCTAGATATTAATTAAACTACATATACATCTGTAGCTATCGACCAGGTTGTAATTTTTCAATTTTACCTGCTACATTGACACACATTTAAATAATATGAAAAAAGTACTACTAGATGATGTATGGAAGTAACAACTACGTCAACCGAACTTAAATACCCTAACAGGTTCAGTAAAACTATAAAATGGTGATGGCTTAACTAAAATTTGAAGATTTAAAGGCAAAGTTAAAATGAAATTGATAAGTGTCAAACGGTAAATAGTAAAGATGTACTGTCATAAGAAAACAGAAGCATAAATACCATGAACTTAAATGTAGAGTATATGTAGTTAATCCGAAAGTAAACATTAAAGGTATGCGATGTAAACTTGGATCATAAATGCAATGTATTGGACGATAGCACAGAGATAAGTTTGTCACATTATAAGTACATCACATATACATAAGGACTTCTTTAATAATACATCACGAGAAAACAAATAACGTAAGTATAACCTTAACTTAATTGATGTTTCCACACTCATACCATAGTCAGAGCAATATCAGGTATATATAATAGCAAGTGATAAATCACATATTTGGAACAGGGGTGATATCAGGATTAGAGGAATGGTATCAGGGATGATATTGATATCATCCCGGGTAAATTCAAAAATTTTACATTTTAAAAACAATCATATGTTTCTCATTTTTCTTTTCAAAAAAATATTTTTTCCGAAAATTTGCATTTTTCCAAAAATTGAATTTATCAAAATTATTTTAATTTTTTGATTAAAATAATCTTTATCTTTTAATTTTTTAAGTATAATGTTTTTATGCCCTTTAAATTCCCAACGTACTTTGGAGTGGGATAATATGTAACGTAAATATTTCCAAGATTCAATCCTTTTTTCTCTCATTCAACAGAAGATTTTGGTAGAGGAAGAAGAACCTGGAAACATCAGGCATTGCCACTGTTCATAATTAAATTAATTATATAGACGACATTGGCACCGATAAAAGTAAAGTTCTAGAATAAGATAAATAGATATACAAAATCTAAAATATCATAAAAATAAAAAGCCTCTGTACCATCTTCAAGCTGCTCATCCCCACGCGCCTTGTAGAATGTGTAGCCAGTGAGATTTCCAGGGGAGCGCAGACACTGCCGCATCGGCCTATAGGGGGGGGGGGGGCTCCACAGTTAGATCAGGGCTGGAAATGGTTATAGTATACGTATATGGAAATGTTCATAGTATATACCGCAATGTTCAGTTCCATTTTGTAATCCTACTTTCGAAATTTCTATTTCCTATAAGTCTTCTCATAGATGCTGATTACTTTGCCTCAAATGACTGCTGTCATTCATAAAGCCTGAAAAATACAGGAATTCTAACACTCATAGAATTACCGTGAAAGATAAACTTCAAATGATAGGAAATAGATAAAGGGGGCAATATACTTGAACATATGTAGAATTTTGGTCCCCTGGACATCTTCCCTTCCTTTTACAACTTGCTAAATTGAGTATACATGTGAAAGGGTACACTAGTTGCATTGTTAGAAGGCCTCTGGACTGAAAAAATGAGAAAATTGAGAGGTGACAATAATCTCTTGGGTCAAAATATTTCACGTTATCGCACAAGTTCTCTTTGAAACGTTTATGGTACTGATTAAAACATTATTTGACTGTTAGTTGTTGAATTGTACACAGTACATTATGCCTGGGTCACATTTGCTCCGATCCATCGGCCGGCGTCCGGCCGATTGAGTGTTTTGCTCAATATCGTATTCAATTTTCAACAAAATACTCAATCGGCCGGGCGCCGTTGTGAAAATCGGAGCAAATGTGACTAATGCATTACCAAGGCCCTATTACTTTGTTCTATATTCTTGGTACATCAGTGGTGAAGCAATGATACAGACTCTTTTAATAATTCACAACTATCCTGCTGTTATCAGCATTTCTCATTTGCTTTTGAAAATAAGTGTAAAAGACAAGTCTCGGTCTTGACATGGTCATTTTATACTCTTTTTTGATTAAGATGAACCTTTAAACTGAACGAGTCCCTTTAATACTCCTTATTAAAGTCTTTCTTATAAGTCAATGAGGCATATACAGCAACATTTTAAATGTTTGGAACCTACTTTGAATTTAAAAAATAAGCAATCAAATGGCTATATTGCAATAGTATATAAAAATAGAAACATATACAAGTCCTAAATTTGTATATTTCAGATAGTTATGTATAATGTGCAGCAAAGCTATGGCCTTTTGTAATTCAGGGAGTTTTAGCGCCCATGTTAATTTTTCGAAAATAACATGGCAGAGAGGCATCAAAATATAAGAGGCCACAGATATGATAGCTAAACTACAAAACAAACTAAGATATACAAAAGTTAGGACATGTATAAATGTTTCTATTTTTACATATTCTGTTTCAATATGGTCCTTTAATTGCTTATTTTTAGGTTCAGAGTAGTTCCAAACATTTAAAATTTTACTGTACATACACTTCATCCCACGATTATTGTTATTAAAATACATAATCCGGATGTTCATTGTAAAAATCATTAAATACATTCTTGAACATGGATTCATTTAATCCTGAAAATTACTTTTAGGTATGACACCATTTGCTTCTTCAATATCAATGAAATAAGATAACATTGCTCAGACTAATCAAAATCAGAATTATGATTTCTAGTTTTATCAATAATAATTTTACTAATATTTATACTAATATTATCTGTTTTACGTCTCGATTCATATCAATTAATTGAAAGTAAAATTGTTTTAATTGTACATTTAGATAGTACTTCAGACAATAATCCAATAGAAGACACGCCGTTGCAAACATGTCACGTTACTACAGCCGCAATCGCTATTCTTCCACCGGACTCTTGGACCGGGGTAGATCTTACAGATCCACTTTCGATTGGACTCCGAGATCGAGGACCTCGTTGTACTATAGGGAACCAGGTTGTCATTTCGACATCAGAGATTACCGAACCATAGTAGAGCTAGATACGGGTAAGTAACTAAACCGTACACAACCAAATATCACTGTGGCTTTGATATTCTCTAATAAAAAGTGCAAATCATGACTTTGAACTAATTTCTTCAAAAAAGTTATAAACACGAATGGCTTGTGATAGTGATTTATTTTCCAATCATTGCTACTATCATAGGCTAAATAAGTTGGTATATATTAGAAGGAACGTTGGGAAACTGAATTTGAAAAATTCTTCTCACACGTTGCGAAAGACTTTTACCAATATCTCGCAGAATTTTTGATGTTTTCTGAAAAGAAAACTTACTGTACGGGTGAATGGGGTAACACTGAAATCAAATTCATAACCTTGACGACATTCATGCATTTAAAACTCATCATTCGACCTGTATTAGCAATGCAATTGTATGAAATACTGTTTTCCTGATTAGCTGGGATTTGACAAACATTACCCTACTATCACACCAAACTAGTTTTCACAACGTTCTCGAAAACGGGCTTCAACCTGTGGACGAACGGACTGGACGTACTTAGAACCGTTTGGGGTCTATTTACAAACTTCATCGAACGTACTCGAACGGGTAGGTCCTCTAGAACTTAGAACATGCTCAAAATGTTCTCGTGATCGATACGTTCTACAATTAGAACAAGTTACAACTAACTAACGACGAGCTTGACGTACTACGAACGGAACCGTCGTACTTCAATCCTACAAGGGACGTTTTAACAACGAGTTGAACTGTCTGAGGACGTATTGAGAACGAGGTAGAACTAATTGCAAACGGGTTTAAACTGATTAAGAACGTATTTAACACTGCTTATGAACGAGTTGGCAAAAATATAGCTATCACACCAAACAAGTTGACACTGCGTTCTTCAAAACTGGTTTTAAACTGAGTGCGAACGGAATGAACGTAGCTGCAACTTTGTAGGTCTATTTACGAACTTCATGAACGTTATCAGACGGGAAGGTAATTTTAGAATTTTGAATCGATTCAAAATTCGATGGCGACCATACCGTTCTGTAATCAGGTCATGTTGACCTTCTAGACTAAGGGACGCGTTCTACGACGTTGCATACCGACGTGGTGCGACCTGAACGAACTGCGAACGAGATGGACGTATTGAAGACTGTTTAAGAACGACTGCTAATTATTTTAGACATATTTCCCGACCACAGCCAGATTAAAGTAGTGATTTTGTATCTGTTAGATGATTTTGAAGAAAATATTTTGGAATGTGTGAATTGTGAAAAGAAATGTAAGCCCACGACTCATTATTGCATTGGGTAATGACTATTCCTTTCAGGCGTAGTTTCTTAAAATTAACACACGATGCTCTGCATCTCGCGACTGTGCTTTAGGAAAACAACACCTTCAAGGAATGGTCATTCCGCATTGCACTGAGTCCAGGGCTTAAATCATTTAATAACTGCTTAGGCAATGTGTAAAGTACGTATTTATCAGGCGTGTTCATGAGGCAAACCTCTGAATCAAAGATAAAAACTTTTTAAAGACAAAAGTTTTCAAAGATAAAAACGTTCAACATAAATTGAAAATACGTTAAACTGTTAATGTATAAAAGATTTGAAAGTTAATTCGGTAGCCGACAGCCGAAAGCTGCATTCGCGAATACAGGCTAAGTCTTTTTAATTTGTTAGTCAATGGGTGATACTTTGAGTATCCTATGATACTATTTCACGTAAAAACCACCATTGTCGACATTCTTCTATTGAATTGCAATGTATTAAATTATGAAATATATGAAATGAAACAGATTAAAAAGGTTGCACAATCTAGGACAAAGGAACGGAAAACTATGATCATGGCAATAATCAGGCGAAATAACGGACGATGTAAAACGTCCGATCTTAAACCATGCGCTGTGTGTAATCAAACTTTGTTCAGAAGTTTATGCATATACACGTAAACGAAATCAAAGATGACAAAGATTGAAACAAAAAATGCGCGTGTGAATCAATCCTGTCTGCAACCTACCTGTAGAATACAGTGGTTTGATTCACCTTTGAGCTGCGAATCTTAACCTTCTAAAAGATGGCATGGTTACAGAAAGCCTAGATGATTCAGATATTAATATACAACATATGGAAGAATTAATACTATTTTTATGCAGCAGTGTATAGAGAGATGATTTCGTATTAGTTAAATACATACTTTTCGTGTCCGTGTGTTACCCGCTACCGGTTGGGATTTAAAAGAAAAATCAAAAATGATTTTCCTAATTGGAACAGTGTGTCTGTAATATATACGCTAAAATGAAATAATTTTTAATAAATCACCAACCCAGACAGATTTAATTAGTAAGATCCTTGAAGTGAATCCTATCCACCTTACCGCGTTGCCCACATATCTGTAAGAATATTATAGAGCAATACTACTTTGACTGATAGGTTAACTATAACAGCTGCCTGTCGATGTTAGTAAATAAAATTACTTTGTTTACTGTTTTTACAAAAGTACAAAGAAGCTGGTTGAGAAGATAGTTTTGAAGATGTGGCCGCACATTAGATAACTACAGTTTTCTTTAAATCGCTTGGAAATGATCAGCGATATACATGTACATTATAATAGTAAACATCCTATTGGTGGATGCAGCCATCAGGCAATAAAAAGTCACTTTTTGAAAATTAAAGTCCAGTTCTGATAATTTTGCCCATTCGTACATCAATGTCATTTTCCAATCGTCTATACATTTACGAAGTGCAAGCCCTGATTGTCAGAGTATTTGAAATAAAAGGAACGACAGAGAATTATGTCATTATATAAATTATTGGAAAGGGGGACCTAATTTTGGTAGGACATGATATACTCCAAACTTGAATTAAACATAAGGAGAGGGCTATTTTAATTTCTATAAATGAATTATAATTTTGCCATATGTATATATTTTTTTATGTCATGACCAATACGTCTTGACAAACATATGTTGTAATACACACGATGACACCATTTTGCGACCGGCGCCTGTAACACTTGTTACTGCTGTTTTTCTGGGTTGTAGGTTGCGACATCTTGTAATGTAAATGACTTGTTTGTAATTGAGGTACAAGTTTCTTCCGAGAGTTTTAAGGCGCTTATATTTTACATTTCATGCAGATAGTCTATCTCTCATATAAAGAATCTGGTTTCTCAGCAAACACGGGGCAAGGTGACCATTTATTTTTTCACCATGGCAACACAACGTTTAGGTCTTAGACAAGTACATGTTTTGTAATGTTATAGAAAAACAACGGGAAAGTATATGGATACAAGGACATCGGTTTCCCATAGCGCTCATTTATCACGTTACAAGACTGCCAGATAGGCCGGTAAACATACCAATGTCAGAAAAACATCTAGGTTGATACCATTCTAAGTATATATGTTGCTATGGAAACAGTTTATGTTTCTAAATAAATACGGGGAAAGGTGAAATTCCAAATCCAAACAAGAAACAAGCGCTCGGTTTATTGCGGCAACTGAGAAGCGTTCGCATCGGCCCCCAGATAGATCTTTCATGCTGTATCTTCCGCGGATGATTAGGAACAGTGAGTCGTGAGGTTCCAGGCGATTTCGGAAAAGGGAATCGAGATAAGGGTGATACAACTGAGGCTGGAGTTAACGTGAACGTGAAATACCGATAGATTCAGACTATGAGGATTTGATTGATAGCTTGTACATAAAAATAGATTGAAGTACTTGTTTTGAGGTCATTCGAAACATTCTTTAGCGACAATTATTGTTGTACATATGCTACTCGGCCTGACTCATTGTTGTGGCTCATAATTTTCACTTGTCATTTTTCCAACAAAAAATAGTTAGACTTAAGGAACCGAAGTAGAGATTGGATAACTATTAACAACTTGTTTCGCTCAAGTGAAATTACATTTCAGTTGCAAGTCTCAATGTCTTCAAAATAGCCCACATCACATGTAGTGCTTATTTAAAGCAGATAGGAGAAGATAATAATTATCATTAACATATATACACAAATCAGAGAGAAGATACATTCAAAATGGGCTGTATCAACAGTAAAGTCGGCAAAGAACCCAAGCCTAAACCCGGGGATAATTTAACCGATAGGGATCGTTACTTTAGGAACCATCCTGGGAGAGTGGGTCCTGCAAAACCTATCGAGCCACCAAGAGCTCAGCCACCGGTTGAAGGTAAGGGAATAGCGTAGGACAGTGTGGTTACAGGAGTTATCAGAGATTTGGTTGATTGGGTGTCCTTTTAACTGTTTCCCCTGCATTCCTTTGTAAATGGACATGGACATGACGGTACAATTATATATTTTCCATATTTCCCAAGAGACTGTTATTTTTGTGACCTCTATTCGGACTGTTTTGTTCGACCCCATGTATCAATCTTGATACCTCAAAGAGGACTTTGACTCTTTATGTCACCCAAGATACATTTCTACTTTCGTTTCGATCAAAAGGAAAGTTCCTACTGCGGTAATACTGTCACTAGTATATCAATGGCTACTATAATATGTGTGTGGGGGGCATCACTTTTTGAAGTGGTGTGTATATCACCATGAATATAGAATGGATTCCGAAAATGTATAAAGTAAAAATTGCCATGTAAATTCAAGCATCTTATGTACAGATGTATATGTATGCAAAGATGCAAACAATTGAAGGGATAGACGCGATATGCGAGACTTTATTTCAGGAAAACCCTTTGATTTATTGGGTTATCTTGCACGAGATTGAAAAGGGGAATGAATTCTAAAAAAATTGACATTTTTGCATCTTAGATCTTAATTTGATCAGATATGTCATAAATAACTTTCTAGAAAATAAAGCAAGGATTATATAGAAAGCACTTGCATGCTTTTTGGAATTATTTCTTCCAACATTTTGAATTCTCTATCCCTTCTAAATCATTTATTATTGGGCAACTTTAAGTATGGCTGCAAAGAATAATGACACTTATTGTTTGTTTCATTGCATTGCATTTTACAGCATATTGTATAAAATAAAAATCATATTTTGTTTTATCCATATACTCTACAT